GCACCCCAGCGTAAAATCAGTGTAAAATGTTTAAATATCGATGGAAAATATCTGTGTAAATGCTTATGTACACACAACAATGTGCGCAACAGTGTCAAACAGAATTTTACGCATAAGTATATCCTTAGTGTCTAAGTGCCGATCAAAAGCAACAAAGGTTCATATACGGATATTTAAATATAAGCACTAGTGCAGAATTTTTTTATGTACCATGGTAAGTTTGTAGAGACATTAGATTATTTCGAAGCAGGAGAGATGAAGAATGAACAACGCCCTCTCCGCGAATCAAACGACGGACCTCTGGAATACTCGTCCAGCGTGCTGACCACTACACTACGAAGGCATGCTAAGAAGGTGGGAGAAATACCTTATAATTTCATATAAAACGCTTGAATTCCGTTGTAAAATTCTGCGTACTATGATTATGTATATGCAACTACGTATACATCAGTGTATAATACATGTTTTTTATTAGTGCATTCTCAACGTCTAAACCTATGTGCGAATAAAACGCACGTGGAAATTTGTGTTTATAAATGCGGCAACATTGAGGACTTTATTATAGGATATATGTCTCAGAGTAAAATCAATATTAAGTTCCTAAATATCAACGTAATATCCGTGTGAATTTTTTAAATATCAGTGCACAGTATCAGTACAAAAGCGTTATCTATGTACAAAATCGGTGTAACAGAATATTGTATCTTGTATGAAATTATTGTCTTATACCCTGGCCTTGTATAGCCATGTACAATTAAAATTTTCTATTAAACTCTCAACGCAGCTCTCCGGGGGCGCGAGCTCTTGCATTGTATAGTTGCGGATTCTAAACGATGTCCGAATAGTCCTTGTAAGCTGTCTGGGTGTCTAAACCTGCTCTAACCTGTCACTTGTAGTATTTACGACAAGGCTTTCCTCAAGCCAGGCCAGTAGGCCTTCCTCGTAGTAAAATAATCGTTTACAATAGGATATTCTTATCAAGACCATGAATATCACACTTACTGTGAACAATAATAAATGCTCATTTTTATTTCTGTCAGTGTATAGCGTAATTATGTATGTACTATTCTTTCTCCTTTACGCCCTTTGTGGAGAGAAACAGTTGCTTTATTAAAACGCTGTAGGAGTGCTGATTTCCTCAAAAGTTGCATATAGTATTAAAGACACTGGTTAAGCATGGGTAGTTGCCCTTCACACTTCTCGCTTGAGCTCATCAAATATAAGTTCAAGAGTTAATCTAATGTAAGGTTCCTCTATATAATGATAGAACAAAACATTGCAAAATACAAAACAATATACAATAATTATGAAAGTTTTCACCGAGGATGCTAAGGTCATATGTAAGTGTATGCAATTATTTTCACTTAATGCATAGGAGACTACAATTGTTGCGTATGTCCTTCACAAGTATACGAAATTTTCTCTTCATCTTCACTTTAAAAGCAACAGATCGTTTGTTAATGAGAGTGGGATTAAATAATATAAACATATGAGTTAATGTCACAATTTAACTATATGCGATTGCACTTTGTGCAATTACTGTGTGAATTTCAATACTTTAAGAAAGAATTTAAATGCAATAACTGCTCTGATTCCTGTCTCATTTAACTTTTATATGTAAACAGTTTTACTTTCTTGTACGAACTAAAGGAAGTATTGTAGTTGAGAAAATTTCGGGTATCATAATTTCAATGAAAATAACCGTTTTGACCGCTGCCGGATCCATTTGAACGATGTTTCTGAGTAACATCTGTACGTACCGACAGAATAGAGGACTCTTTTTTTTTTTTTTTTTACAAAACAGATTTTAAATGGATTTAAAATGAATTCAGAATAGATTTTTTCGTAACATCTGTACGTTCGTATCTCGCATAACTCAAAAATGAATAATCGAAAGACGTTGAAGTTTTCTATATGAGAACTGCTATAACATAAAGTTGTGCAGCACTCTTTTTCGTTGCAATCAGCAGCACCAAACGTATAATATATATATATATATATATGTATTTATATCATTTGTTGGAGTGGGTATATATATATATATATATATAGTATATGTAGTGCCAGTGTTGAATACCAGATGGCGTACAGGCCAATGTTTCATGTATTGATAGCTCTGGCAAACAAGATGACTTAGCAACCTTAATTGTTTCTTATCTGAATAATTTAGAATTGCTTAAAAATAATGTAATTTTAGAAGAATGTGAAAGCGAAAGTGACTTAGAGGGTGAGGATGGCGGAGATAAAAATGAAATAGATGATAATGTTCGAAATGAAGGCGAAAAATAAAAAATTAAAAAAAAAAAAAAAATGGGGATGACGCTCTTAAGACGAAAAGAAAGGCGCCTGAAGAAGACCGAAAAGATGCCTAAAGACGAAGAAACTGCTGTTAAAGACGTTAACTACTGTTTCTATGGCAGATGAAGCTTAGACGAAAGGAAAGACGCTTAACGACGAAAAGAAAAAAGAAAGACGCCTGAAGAAGAACGAGAAGATGCCTAAAGACGAAGAAACTGCAGTTAAAGACGTTAACTACTGTTTCTATGGCAGATGAAGCTTGAAAACGATGTTTGCTCATTTTATCACTCTTGAAATTGAAAGACGATCAGGACTCCAAAAAACATTTAACCTTTAATTTATTATTTTTCTTGTTTTGCTTTTATATTTTCTTTGTACTTGCAGCGTCGCCTGGAGAACCAAACGAGTGCAGGACGGCCGAATGATGTAATGCCAGTGTTGAATACCAGATGGCGTACAGATTGCTCATCGTATATTTCTTTTAATTTTTGTTTTTTCCGTTTTGCTAGTTGGCAACTAGATAAGTAAAATGTGTGTGTGTGTGTGTAATTATGGCAAAGCCTCGAGGGCTATCTGCCTAAGAGGAGGGATACCTTCGTGGAGGACTTTCTAAGGGAAACTGGCTCGTATACACTAGATAAGTAAAAACTCATTCAAATTAAAAGAACGACGACGATAAAGACGTAAATAAAAATGTATTGAAATTTGTTTAAAATGTAAATATTTTAAATGTAATTAAACGTGCTGTCCTTTTAAGTAGTTTCTTAGATGTCTTTTGTAAGAAGGTATTACCATATAGGTATATAAATATATATTCCCACTCTGTGACTCAGTGAGCTCAGTCTCTATTTTTATTCTTATATGTTGGTAAACTGTGCGTTTTTTGCTTTAAAAGTGATTGAATCACGTTGTTCTTATGTTCCGGTTAAGATTTTATGCCCTTAATTAATATGCATGCGATAGAATTATCAACAGTTTAAAAGTAAAAGTGGCACTAGGCCTAATGGGGTAATTATTTGTTTACATTTGAAACTCTTAGCAGGATAGTGAATTAAGTCGACTGTGCACCAACTTCAGAGTCTTTTTGCCCTGTGGGACCAAAGGTTAACTTTCAGTTTTTCACACCGAGTTTTGTCATCTTGCCCATAGTCCGAATTGCTTGTTTTCCCTAAGAAACTTAAATTTTAATTGTAAAAGTGGCTCTTCAACTGTTTTAACTGCATTTTGGTGTTTTACGTTTTGTGTATTTTGCAAGTTTTAATGAATATGTTTTGAGTTTTTATGTACTTTTGCCTTGCCGAGAAGTGAGAACTGAATTGATTTAAATGAGAAATATATCTCTAATGAATTTCGAGGAAATAAGTTTAAATGAAGTGCAGCCAAGTATGTGTATCATTTAATAGGCCGTATAAGGAAGTCATGTAGTATCCACGAGATATTTTTAATTTTATTGTTTACGGTTTACACTGCATGTCTGAATAATGATAATGGCAATAAAATAAACCTACTCTTATGAAGTAATCACCCTCTTAGATTGCGCTCGTTTGTGAATAACGCCTGCTTATTAATCACTCTGACATAAATTATCCTCGAAGCAGTCTACTTATAGCTACTTACAAATGGCAGTAGTTTAAGGGATAGAAATTCTGAATTATGACGGCGTTTAGTAGGTCATTGGTTCGCGTTAAAGTCCAAGCCCAAAGCTTTATAAATATTAAATATGTACCTGGATTCTATTAAGTTCTAGAACTTATTACTTACTGTATATACTATAAGAATATTTATTCTAGAATGTTAGCACTTACTACATCGAAATGATAATAATAAGTAGGTTTTTTCTTTTTATCTGTTTATGTAATTCTACGTCTTTACTATTGTGCTTTCAGCTTCACCAGTGTGCAATGTAATCCTTTACATTATATATTCACAACACATTATTTGACGAATTATCTTATCGTAACATTAAACGCTTCATAGTAAAAAGATTTAAGTCATAAAAATTAATAAATAATTCACAGGATAACATTTTAATATGGTTCTGCAAAAGACCGCTTCTACAAAATCCCTAAAATATATATTCTTATGAAATGCCTAGCTGTGGTAAGATATATTCCTCGCAAAGCGGGGTTAGGGTTGCCACAAACTGGCAAGGGAAAGCAGGGTTGACAGATTTGGCAACAAAATTGGCGATATGCCATGGACGGAGCGAGAACATTCTAGAAAGAATTCTTACCGGTTTTCCCGAGAATGTTTTCGAAGGCAGGTCAAAAGCTATATATAACTTGCCTGTACGAGGAATAGAAGAATATCTTGAGTTCAGTAGCACAGTAGTAGGGTTAAGAGATTAGTTTAAGAGCGACCAAACCGAGTCGGGAGCTGTACTTTAGTGCTTCGCCGTGAAGCTGTCATCACAGTTGTAGCCTGAAGGCTATGTTGCTGACTGTTTCAGAGTGTTTATCGTAATTTTCGACGACTGTAAACGTGTTTTTGGAAATCTACTGTATAATACTGGAGAATCAATTGCGTTTTGATACTTCATCAAGTTTTATTGTCAATTACACCAAATCCACCAACCCATAAAACTTCTGTGAATACAATAATTTTCACTTGAAAGTCAAATTTCCCATTGCTGTTCGTATTCATGTATTCACATTTCTAAAATTAAAAAAAATATTCAGATTTCATAGCAAAAGAATTTTTACCTTATCTCCATTTTTAGGCAGACTGCATCCAGCGTAGCATGGGGAGAAGAAAGTTGTTTTTCCATCTGGAGCGCAGATAGGGGTGAATTCTCTTGTTGAGCAATTACAATTATAATTGCAGGTGTTTTCTAATATAAAACTGAAATATAAAGTAGAATTGATTTTACCAGATAAAACAATGTTTTAGATGGTTTAAAAATTATCAATAATTATTACTTAATAGCAAAGAATGTTAAAATATATTCACAAAAAATAAACGAAAAAGTGACAATACTTGCTTTCAAATTAAAACACTTGGAAAACCTCAGTGCATGTAACTTCATTTTGTAAATAAATATATATTTTCACAAATCATTTTAAATGGAAATTAGGGTAAGAAACAGAAAAACTAAAAAAAGTCTCATTAAATATTAACAATTCCTCAAATAATAGCTAAGAATTAATAGTATTTATTAATGTTTGGCATTTAATTAAAAAATAAAAAATCTTCTTGAGTTCTACGCGTTCGTGGGTTTGGAATGATTGATGACAACACTTAATGAAGAATCAAGACACGTTTATAGCTGTCGAAAAGCTACGATAAACGCGCTCAAACAATCAGCAACACAGTCTTCAGGCTATGAGGCTGTACGGTAAAGGCAGCTTGACGGCAAAGCACTAAAGTACAGCTCCCGACTCGGTTGATCGCTCTCGGAGCTCATGACACTACTACTGAATATACTCAAGACACTCTCCACGATAAACTCAAGATACACTGCTACTCCGCGTATGGGCAGTTTTTGACAGGCTTCAAAAACATTCTGGGGAAACCGGTAAGAATTTCTTATAGAATATTCTGGCTCCGTCTATGATAAATCAACAATTTTGTCGCCAAATGGGCAATTTCGTGCCAAATCTGGCACCTCTGCATTTCCTTGCCATTTTATGGCAATCCTAAACTAGCTTTGCGGGGAAGCTATTTTACCGCAGCTGGGCATTTTACAACCATATGTTTACTATATCTCTTATGTGTCTAGACACTTGCTTCTCAAAATCCGTAGACATACTGCAAGTTAAGCCTAGAATGGTAATCATATTTAACGTTCACTTTTATTGATATTATTTTAATGTATTTAGATTAAAAGGAATTTATTTATTTTATCTAAGAAATTATTTTATGTTTATTACCTATAATGTCATTTATCTCTTTATGCTTTCCTTCCAGAATGCTAATTTTAGTTCGCGCATATTCAAATGAGGTAGAAAGGAATAGTATTTAAACGAAGGTTTTGCTTAGCTTAGACAGTACGTGTTCCGCCTGCTGAAGGTTACGTTCGTAGTTGAAATTCTGCAATAGCAGTCTATCTTTGGCGTTGCTTTATTCTTTCCAGTAGCGCTTGTCATGCAGGCATAGATTTCAGCTAACTTGCGTGTTAATCATGTTTGTGCAGCCTTTGGCTTGGCTAAATTATGACTAAATTTGGAACTCATTACTTCTGAGTTATGCCATAAAATGCTAGCTGGCTGGTAAGCACAAACAGTGCCTTCTGTTCAACTGTTTGATTTCTCAATAAAAGGGCCTTTTACACCCTTCTTACGAGACATAGTGATAATTTGTGTCTTTAAAGTCTTGACTTAGTGTGTGCTTCCCAGAAGTCTGAGACTCTTCAAGATATTTAAGTTCAGAATTACTGAAAGTAAACTTCGTAAAATTTTTTTGTTGAAATCCTTTAACGAAAAATGCGACACAATTATTCCAAAATAAGCTACATCATTTAGCAAAAGTGGCGTGTTTCTTGTTAATTTCTATATCACTAATTCTTACTGAACATCAACGATGTGGAAGTCAGTCACTTTTAAAAGTAAAAATTATTTTAGCGCTCAAGATCTTGCTGTATTTTGAGAAACGTGTTTGCCTCACTGTGTTTGTGTTAGCGATAGCTTTGGTGACTAATTTTTGTCGCTAAATTTGGATAGAAATGGCCAAAAGTCGCCAAACTTGGCGACCATTTGGCGACATTTGGTAAGGTCCCTGTATGACTGTAACTGGTACAGTAATTGAATAATTGTAATAGATTCCTACAAGTAGACTATAACCGTATCCTGTAAACTGTAACTATATCCGGCCCTCATATGCCTTCCAGTAATTTCAAGAAGTGGAAGGTTCTAGAGATTTCTCGGAGAGACCGAATACAACATCAGTTTCTCGGTAGTTGTTTAGCTCAGCATATCAGTTCGGAATATTGAGAGATCCCCGCAGCAGCTTCGCCTTTTTAGATGTGCTTTGCATTACGTTGTGTTTAACGTTCTTGGTAGTTTGAAGTTTAACTACTGATTTTGCATTGATACACTGAGAAGAGCTGCATGAGTATTTTTTTGGAGAGTTCCAGAACTCTAAAAAGTTCCTTTTTGTAAAATACATATTATCAATCTACAATCGGTTCTGTGCGCATTCAGTCTGTTACGAACCCGTACGCACGCAATAATATGTTTGCTTCACAGTATAGAAATCTGTACTGCTTGTTTTACTTCTTTATTTTAAAGCATTATAAGCTTAACATCTTTCTTGTTTTCTAAATTAAAGTGTCTAGGTAAAGTGTTCGGTATAAAAACTTTAACAGAAAAAAGGTTTTTTTCCCTTAAAATTATTTAGTTTTTCATATCAATGGGAAATGAAAATAACAGCAAACAATTTTCAAAAAATTTAATAACATGGAATTTTGAATGTATAGGGAATGAAGGACACGTCACGCAAGTTTTGGAAATAGAGGTGTTAAAAAAGGAATTACGATGTTTTATTTAATTCGAAAATTTTATACACTAAAGCTAATTACGCTAAAATGCTCAGCAATCATTAATTTTGAAAATATATGAATTTTGAGTTTGAGAAATGTACGATCAAAAAGAACAACAGTAGGGAAATATGAAGAAATCCCACACGTCATGAAAATATTTTTTCTCCACCAGCGTCCGAGCGGTGACGTCGCTGAACACTAGTAGTTCGGTTCGAGCTTCGAATCTTTCGAACGGGCTGACTGCAAGGGTGTTTTCGGGGTTTTCAGATGTGACGTATAGAGTAGTCTGTATCCTTTAGTAAATTCTCCACGTAGGCATCCCTCCTTTCAGCCAGATAGCCCCCAAGTACTTTGTCGTAATCAAATAAACCAAAGCATAAAAATATTTAACGTAAAGGATACTGGGTGTAGTTGGCTAGGACGTTAAAAGATCATCAAATTATTTTTTGTATAATTCGTTTTATTAACAAATCTGATGCGGAAACCAAATGACTTTATTGTACAGAATATTAAATTACACGCATTTTTGTTGCATTTCATTTAAACTTATTTCCACGAATTTCATTAGAGTTCTCATTCAATTCATTCTATTACCACTTCGTGGCAAGGCAAAAATATATAAAACATCAAATATCTTCATTAAAAATTGTAAAATACAGAAAAATATAAAACATCAAATACAGTTAAAAAAAAAAACAATTTTTACAATTAAACTTAGAGTTTTTACGCAAAAACAAGCAATTCAGCCAACGAGAGATAGAATTTTCGGTGAACAAACCTGAAAGTTTACTTTTGGTCTCACTCGGCAAAAAGACGCTTAAAATGCAGAAATTGACTTAATTCATTCTTCTGTTAAACTTCAAATGCAAACAAATATGGCAGCTATGGTAAAAAAAATATACTTAGCCGCAATTGAACAACTTTTAAATTGTTGATAATTCTACAACTACTGCATTAAGATGAACTAAAGACATAAAAACCTTAACCAGAAGATAATAACAACATCATTCAATCATTTCTAAAGCAAAAAAATGCAAGTACACCAACATATGAGAATAAGAAACTTGAGCTCACCGAGCCGAGTAAAAGAGTACATGTATATAAAAATACATGTATATTAATTGAAAAAGAAAATGTAAAGCTAACAAGTAATTGGACGTAAGACCTATTTGGTCTTAAAAATTTTTGCGCATAATGATGCAAAAAGATATGAAATAATAGTAGTAGGTAGAAACATTGCAGCGATCTTGCTAAAAAGTTACCAGGAGCTGTAGCTCCACGAAATATTTTAACGCAGTATTACAAAAATAAAAACTAAGAAGAAATTTGTCTGGAAAAACTGGAAAAAAATTGTAAACACGCGAAAAAACTGCCAAAATTAATGCTGGAAGACTTGCTAATGCACGGAAAAATTAATCTGACCGTTGTGATATGTGAAAAGTTAACTCACATGAAAAAATAGATCGACGGAAAAAAATATATAAGGAAAGTACATATAAAAAACATAGATTGAAAAAATGCCAATTCATAAAAAGTAAAAAATTAAAATTAAAATGAAGACACAAATTGCAACAAAACAAAATACAATAATTATATAGCGGAAAATGGTAAATTAACCCACTCGTACTTTCAGTTGGTTTTTCAAGGGAAAAAAACTGATTGTCGAACTAGGTTAAATAATACCATTACGCGTTTCGCCGAAACAGACCATTGAAGCTCTTGTTTAATGCGAAAAAATTTTTATAAAAGAACATTAGTATTCCCGAATATATCTTATTTGGAATAAATCCTTTTTTTGGAGCTTCACTGCTCTGTTCCTTTTTTCCGAAGCGTCCGCTGAAATACACATTAGGGTGTCAAAAGCAATTGCAACTCCGAGCAATGTAAAATTAAAATCAAAATCAAAATAAAATGAAATAAATAGCGGTCTGCTTTTAGTCAAAAATTACAACAACGTACGGGCTGGTCCTTTAAACCTTAAAGAAGATGGAACTTTTATAAAGAGAATGGTGCTGTAAACAAATAAAAATGCAATTAAATTTGTAAGAAAACAAACGTCGCAGGGTCTTATTAGGACCAAAAAACATAGACAATAGAAACGAATAAATTGACCTGAGAGGTGCCGTCCTTTGCATCCGAAAAATTTTTTGGAAAAGGATGCAAAACCCCTCCGTGCCCAAACCAACCTTCCTTATCCTCTAGTGACGTAGTTGGGCTAAACAATAAAATCTGTATAGGCCGATGGGCTGAGATTGTAGTTTGGCGGGAATTCTTGTCCCCCCTCCTTTTTTATAGAGGGTGTAACAGACGAGAAAAGACTCGGAAAGAACTCCAAATGGCGTCAGTCAAGTTGTTAGAAGAACAAAACTGTTAAAAAATAAGTGAAAATGGCTAATTCAGCTAAAATTACTTATTTTTGACCACAAAAGAAAGAGTAAATTGGAAAAAAGTCATTTGTTAATAAATGTCGTCGTTCTTCAAGCTAGAAGGCGGTCAAGCTACTATGAAAAATGAAAAGGCTCGATTTGTTAATAAAAGTAGAGTTTGGCCTTCTAAGTAATTTAAAACTATTACATAATAGTATTAAAGTATAGTGCCAAAATCTTTGGAGGAAAGAAAATGTATGTAGGAGAATAATCTGTACATTTATACAATTTTTACATTAGATAATCTGAATCAGCCATCCACTTTATACCTTCCCATGGGCTTTAAGCATAAAATTTCATTATCCAAAACAAATTATCTAAAAATTGGTAAGGCTAATGCCAGCTTTTAATTATTTTATGAGGAATTTGGTTATTTTTCAAAATTGTGACGAAGTAAAGTATTTCTTCTTGTAAGTGTTCTGTAGTATTACATATTTTTTTATTCTAAGTAGCTGTGAAAAAATTGTGTTAATGATGATTCTTTTGAAAATATTAGAATTCCAGTTGGTTAACTTTAGTGTAGAAAAGGGAATTCTCTCCTCTTGTCGTAGACTTTAATAAAATTGTAATCAATAATATTTAGGTCAAGATATACTACATTATTTTGCACCGTATTTGTTTTATTTAGTTTTAAGCTAGTTGGGTAGATATTAGCTGCTTCTATTTTGTTATGGTTGTTAAAGGCTATGATATCATCAATGTAACGATATATGTGTTGGTAAAATTTATGTTCTTTGTTTAGTGAACGGACAAAGGTCAATTCTCTTGTGAAAAGGAATAATTCGCACACAGCGCTCGAAAAATTTCCGCCCATTTGGGATTCCTTGAATTTGTTTGAAGATGCTATTGTTAAAGAGAATAAAATTATTGAAAAGCACGCTCGTAAGATAAAGTTGCCATTTTTCGTTATTAATTATTGTCGAAATCTGTGGAATTATATCTGGTAGAGCAAGTAAGCTGGTATAAATTTCTTCAAGTGGTAAGGTAGTATAAAGGTTTTCGAAATCGTAGCATTGTATATGGTCTATTTGAATTGAAATAATTGTCTTAATTACGAGTTCGTTACTTGAAATCATCCAGTTGCAATGCAGATCTTGAAAATCATAGTTATTAATCAAGTCACGTATTAAATGAAGTTTTTTTTGCAAAAAGATAATCTATTTCTTTAAGATAACTTTTGGTACTATTGGCAATGAACCTGAATTTAATGGGAGGCTTATGAAATTTTGGAAGGGCATAGAGATTAGTAAATCTGTTATTATAGTTCCGTGGATGTATCTTAAGTCTTTTATGTAGTGCGTTAAATTTATTGATAAGAATTTTGGTGTTGGTGGTAATTTTTTCGTAAGTGCCATTACTATTTAGTTCTTTGTGCAGAAGGTCGAAGTAAAACTTTTTTCAAATAACACTAAAATTGTTGCTAGCTTTGTCAATTTTAGTAATGATAAAATTATCTTGCAGTTTTTTGATGAGATCATAGAGTCGTTTCTTTTGTGTAGAGAGTTGAAAGAAGGTGTCTTGAAAAGTAAATGTTGAAGTTCTTTAATCAGTGCATGTTTTCCATTCAAGAAAAAAGTAGTAGTAGGTAAATTGGATTTATTACTAACTAAGATGATAAATTTATCAAGATCTTGATTGAATTGTGTTTATAAAGTCCCGGATCCATTTTGATGTTTAATAACTCATAAAATAATGAAGATATAAACAAACTCATGGCATTTATTGATGGAATAACGTATATATTTTCATTTTCAGTCTAAATATCTGTACTTTTCTATATATCGTCTGCTTATTAATTGCATTTTCTCTCTTTTAATGTGCCATAATGTGCGCATATGGGGATCTGAAAACCCCCATGAAATCCGTGAGGCACAAAGGGATTTCCCAAAGGTTAATGTGCGGTGTGGACTAATGCACGACCGAGTCATTGGGCCTTTTCTTTTTACAGAAAAGACGGTCTCATCAGTCGTATACTTAGAAATGTTGGAAAACTTCGTATTTCTACAACTAGAAGAGCTTCAGCCACATGACGTTTTGCAACAAGATGGTGCACCACCTCATTGGGATACCATCGTTCGTAGTTCTTTGAATGACCATTTTACAGGAAGATGGATTGGGAGAGGAGCTCCAATTCCTTGGCCGCCCAGATCACCTGATATAACGCCGCTGGACTTTTTCCATTGGGGATTTGTAAAGGACAACGTTTACAGGAGGAGAGTGGTGAACATGGATGACCTAAAAGCCTGAATTACAACCGTAATAGCCTATGTGGATGCTGACATGCTTGCCGGTACCTGGCGTGAAATTGAATATCGACTTGATATTCTCCGTGCGACGAAGGGGGCACACGTGGAAGTTCATTGACAAAGGTCATGAAACTTTTTGAGTCTATCTAACCATTTATGTTATTAATTTTAATCTATGTTTATTATTTTATGAGTTATTAAACATCAAAATGGGTCCGGGACTTTATAAACACCATATATATGTATATATGATGTATATATATATATATATATATATATATATGGTGCGGCCGATTGCTACCAAAAAGGAAGGTGCACAACTACACGTTATAGCAGTCATATATACAAACTTTCAACGTTCTGAGGCTACTATTTTTGAATAATGCGAGATATATACATACGTACTTACGTACAGACGTTACAAAAAAATTTATTCTGAATCCATTTTAAATCAGTTTTATAATTCGTTTGGGGAAAAAGAGTCCCTCATTCTGTCCTTATGTACAGATGTTACTCAAAAACAGCGTTTAATTGCATTCAATTTTCTTTGAAATACGGTACCCTGAATTTTTCGTGATTACAATACTTTCTTTACTTCGTACAAGGAGGTAATAGGAAACAAATTTTGTACAAAACAAGACTTTCCTAAAAATTTACAGTTAATAAAGCACATAATTGTGTCTTACCCTTTTTCGTTGAATCCAGAATTGAACATCTCAACTTCCTGGCATTTGGGAATCATGAGTAGAAGGTAACCGACTGTAGCTATTACTTCAGTTAATACCATAGCTGCCGTCAAGGTTTTAACTGAGGGTTTGAACTTCCATACAAGAATTCCACCAATTACAATACCGATCATGATAGCACCAACAGCAGGAGGGGCTATTAAAGGCAAGACATGAAATATTTGAATAACTTTCATTCATAATTTTTTCGACGCTAAAAATGGGAAGTAAACACATAATTTACCCCCCCCCAGATTGCTAGTTTCTTACCAGTATGTAATAAATTGTTTTTATTATTTACATAAATTTCGGTTAATATCTTACACATAAACGTATAAATTTTATAAATCTTGTTTCACATTTATTTAAATCAACTAATTTTGTAGCTATTTATTAACTACAGAATTTACAATTTCCTCTTTTTTTAAATGAGAAATAAATTCCTAATAGAACGACCCCAAAGCCATTTCTTAAAGCTCCCAAACTTTTTTCCAATAGCATTACGAACGTATTTACGATTTCAAATTTCTGATCCTTCATTCGAAAAACACATGTTTTCAGCAATGTACACAAACTATGATTTTAGTGTTATGTATGCCTCCCGGTTAGTTAGTTAGTTCTAAGCAGTGGCTCCCAGCTCACCTAGCAGGCGAAACCTGCCATATGGCTATGTGGGAACAGGCCAAGCCACAAAGGCATTAAAAAAAATAATAAAAATAAAATAAAAAAAAATTAAAAAAATCTGAAATTTGTCAGATTTTAAATTACGTCCAAAGGGGCGTTTTTTTAACGTTTTGAGTGTTACCTTTATTTATTAAATATCATGTTCTTTGCACTTAAACCATAAAATTCAGTTCAAGAGCAATATCGCAAAATAATGTTCAATTAAGCATATCTTTAGAATTTCCGATATACACAGTCTCGCGAGCTGGAGATAAAAGTATTATTTTTTTCTATATAACGTTGCCATTTCTCGCTTTTAAAGCATTGAGTTTTGTAAATCAAAAATTCGTTAAAGTTTTACAAAATATAAAATCTATAATAAAACAAATTCCAAATTTGGGATTTCAGATGCCCATATTCGCAGTAGGATTTCGTCATTCAAAATTCGATGGCTCTATGTACCATTGTTTTTTATCACAATGCGAGAAATGGACAATCATTTATGCAGATTTTTCATTATTTAATTTCTTCAAATATAATGCAGGACTCTAACATTTTGTGGCAACAGTTTGAAAAGTGAACCGACGTTTATGAGTCCGACGCAAAATGCCAAAACGAAAGCAATAGTCTTTCGGGACTGAAATCCCTTTGGACTAAAAAAAAAACGTAAAGTAGATACATACATTCCAAGCACTCCTGGTGAATTAGTATATGAATGCGTCGTTTCCATTTCTGACTTTTTTTCTGAAGTTTAAAATCTTTATAAGTTTTACTTTCAATTAATTATTATTATTCAAATCTTCTTTATATTATCAAAATTCATCTTAAATTTATAAGTTACCTCAATTATTTCTGTTTTCAGTAAGATTTTCTGCTTTCGATACCAATATTCTTCTTATTCTCATTCACCGTTTGCATAATATCTCTCGCAAATTTTCTAAACAATTTATAATTACTAAATAAATCCTCAAGCTTCGCAAATTTATATTTTTCTCTCACACTTCCAGTCAGGCAACAGTCCTCGAAGAAATGCTTTGAAACGCCGAATTTATTACAAACTTTACATATATCATTTTCCTGGAGGTGGAACCTTTTTAAGTAAGCAGGGAACCTTCCGTGTGCAGTGAGAATTTGATTGACATCTACATCTCCTAAAATTCGCATTTTTTGCTAATTTTTAAACATTGTAGATAGTTTTTGTTTCTTTCAGAGAGATCCCATAAATTTTTACAGTCTCTAATAAGCTTGTCAGATATTATAGTACATGTCTTCTTTTTCGAATCTTGAATAAAAACCTTTTTGGTCCCAACCCCCAGGGAGGCTTCTTTCGCTAGAGCATCCGTTTCTCATTCCCATAATGACCAACGTGAGCTTTGATCCAATGTAAGTTCAAAACATGCTTCTTTCGTAGTTCTAAATATATATGCTTAATTTCATTAACAATATTATTCTTTTGAAAGGGACGAGAGAGCGCCGTAAGAGCAGATAAGGCATCTGAGTATAAATTAATGTAATACCCCACGGATAATTTCTTGATCCAGGATAAAGCCATTTTAATTGCCAACAATTCTGCTTGATAAACTGAATTTCTTGGTTTAAAAGTAAACGTTTTGTAATCAGTTTCAATACCGTGGAAAAATACAACAAAGGCACAGCCGATGCTCTCCGCAAACCCTGATCCATGTGTATAAATTTCAATTTCTCCATCTGAAATATAGTCTTTATCGTAGGATATACCGTAATATTCGCTAGGATGGCTTGAAGTCAGATCATGTTCTAAAAACGCCTCGCTGGTAATTGCTTTATCTTCATACATTATTATCTGTTTTATACCATGTTTCAGACAAAATTTGTCATAAGTAAATTGAATTGTAATGAGAGAGGCGGTACACCAGCCAGTAAGCACGCAACTTCTGTCGGGACTGTTCTAAATGATCTTGTAATTGCAAGTGTCCAGGCCTTCTGCAATGAGTCTAATTTCTGCCTTGACCAGCTCCCCTGCTCGATCACCCCATGCGCCAATACCATAAAGAAGTTTCGGTATAATAACATTTTTGTAAATATCCCTCAGGGTTAAGCTTTTAACAGAAAGAGTGATTGGAGTAAAAGAATTTTCATAATAATTTAAAATTTTTTCTATCTTTCGTTGCCTCCCGGTATAGTGGTTAGGGTCGCTGACTGCCGTGCCGAAGGGCCCGGGTTCATATCAATTGAGTTAAAGCTAAAATTAGACAAAATTTCGCTGATTTTAACACTGTTAAATATTATAGTTTTTACTTTTTTTTGGAAGGGGCAGAGGTAGGTAACTTTTCTATGAAATTCGGATAATTTTACGCTCAATTCAATAAATACTTCAACATGAAAATAAATTCAACAAATCAAGTGGTTAAAAAATTCAGCAAATGTTATTTTTGTAATCTATTTATTATAGCATAAAACATTTACTCTTAATTAAATAATCTTGCGAATTAAGCTACTGTAAAAAGATTTAAAAATAGATCATGGAGTCGAACAAGAATAATAATTTTTTCCGTGATCTTCTCCACATCTAATTACCGTTGAAGAATGCGTTTTATTTATTGTAGTTGTTATTTTTTCTACTATCTACCTTACCTGCATATAAGCTGGCTTCCGACGCAGTCAGTCTGAACTGGTTTTCCATGTACTTCGGAAGCATTGTCCAATGACCGAAGTTCCCGAACAGCGCAAAAATCACATGTAACGCATGGAAAAGATATAGAGGATTATTTCCAAGTCTTTTAAATGCAGCAAACATGCCTAGAAATACATTCACATTTTACAATTCTTTCGTATGTGCAACTGGTATTTATAAACTAGTAGCATATAATTGTGCAAACATCGGGTAAAAGATTTAGATACCTAAAACCAATTTTTACTTCCTTGCATGAAGTAAAGGAAGTATCATATTTCAACTAATATATCTATTTTAACCGCTATCGAATACAGTTTAGTATGATTTTGCCTGGCATTTGCACGTAAGAACAGAGTAAAGGTCTCTTTTTCCCCAAACGAGTTGCAAAATTGATTTAAAATTCATTCGGAAGAGATTTTTCATGGCGTCTATACGTACGTACGTATGTATGTATCTTGCATAACTCTAACACGAGTAGCCTCAGAACTTTGCAATTTTGTATATAGGACTGTTATAATATGTAGTTGTGCACTTTCCTTTTTGGTTGCAATCGGCTGCTCCAAAAGTGTGTGTATATATACTATATATATGTTTATATAAACTAATGTGTTACTCATCTCCGTAAGCTCGGTGTTTTTTATTCTTATATGTTGGTAAATTGTGCATTTTTTTGCTTAAAATGATTTAATTATTTGTTCTTATCTTCCGGTTAAAGTTTTTATGACTATACGCTCTTTATTTTTGATAAATTTCCATTTGGTCTCCTAGGATATCTAAGCAAAGTTTCCTTTTAAAGTTATTCTAATTGGGGGTTATATTAATGCAAATATTTGTTTCTCACAATTTATTTGATGTCATTTCTTTTGATCTAATAGTACATAAAATATAATGTAATCAAAGAAAGAATTTGTATTCTATCAAACCAGTTTTCATCATTGGTGTTCTTTTCAGGGGGACAAAGGAGGCATTTTCTATATCCTCAGTAGTTAATCTGCACGCAATAGTTGTAGAATTATGAGCAATTTAAAAGTTGTTTAAGTGCGGCTAGGCCTAATATTTTTTAACGTAGCTGCTATATTTGTTTAAATTTGAGAATGGTGAATTAAGTCAGCTTCTGCACCTTCAGTGTCTTTTTGCCGAGTCAGACCAAAAGCAAACTGTCAATTTTGTGCACCAAAAAATCTGCCTTCTTCCCCGCTGGCCGAATTACTTATTTTTGCCTAGAAACTCTAATTTCAATTGTAAAAATTGCTTTTTAATTGTTTGAGCTGTATTTGGTGTTTTATACTTTTCTTTGTTTTTTTGTTGTCCTTCTTATTTGTTTCTTTTTTTTTTTTTTTTGGTGTTTTATATTTGTATTTTAGTCAAGAGAAAAAGGACACAAACGGGATGAGAAAACATGTTTATTATTCGGAGTACAACCGTGATGCAGGAACTTCACGTCATGCATCTTCCATTCGTGATGCAGATTCTCCATGCGGAGGTGTGAGGCCTGCATAATGGTCTGGAATCGTAATTTCGAACACCTTCTTTAATGACGATTTTTGTTTGGTTTTGTTCTTATTTGTAGGTTTCTGCTGTACTAAACATAACAAAACATGTTTTGTCTCATTGTTTGTGTCCTTCTTTTTTGTTTTTTATGTCGTCACTACCCGGGCCAGGAAAGAGTCTCCGGCCCTGCATTCCTATGGGATTTCCCATCCCATAGGAATGCAGGCCGGTGTACTCTATCTCTCCTGAAAGTTTGTCAACGCTGTACTGATACACCCTGTATATACGTTTCGTACTGACAATTGCAATAGAAACCCCATTTGCAGAAACTAGGTATAATAGCAGACCCTAAACAAAATTTCAACATTATATGACTAATGGTTTTTGAATTGCTCGAGATATATAATACGTACCTATAGAAGTCACTAAAAAAATTCCATATTAATTTATTTTAATGGATTTAAATTTCCTAAATTTTTAATCAAGGATTTTACAATGCGTTTTGGAAAAAGAATGTTTTATTCTGTCCTCATGTATAGATGTCCAAAAAAGTCGTCCAAATGGGTTTCCGGAACCGTCAAAATATATATTTCCGCTGCTATATGATACCCGAATGTTTTTGCGATTGCAATACTTCCATTTTACATCGCACAAGGAAGTAAGAATTAATATTAAATGTGCTAAATGAAATTTCGTTATTTTCAAATTCAACACAATGGAATTTCAGAGCCATCCCTTCATCACTTTGTTTTCCAATGATAAATTGCATATAATTTTTCCCCTAAAGGAATAATAAAAGTTGTTTATTACCCTAAATCTGAATAAAATATTTTCATGTTTTTCCAAATTTGTTTCTTTTTTATAAAAATTTTAAAATGAAGGTTCTCTCAAAGGTATATTTCGATATTTTGACATGCTTTATTGCCTAAAGTTACACAACAAAATGTTTTGTTGCATAAAATTATGTATTATGAAAGAAATTAGTACTATATACACCGTCTCATATTTAAATATTTTTAAGAATGAATGATCTTTGGTACGAGTATTAGTATATTATATTTTTCGGTAAGAGCACGTTGCGTTAATCTTGTATAATGATTACAAAGCTCATTTCTAATTCCGAAAGCCTAATAAAAGGAACAATTCTTAGTGATTCTTAATCAGAAGAATGAAAAACTGTAACGTAAACTGTATAGAAGTGATTAATTTGCAGCAAAGCATGCGATGACTCAAAATTTATAGGTATCAGAGCTTGATGCCAAAGTCCGCGATAATCAAGCTAAATTTAATGCACCTACAATCTTTCATATTATCAGACATTGTGGCTTTCGTATGTTTGATTTTTCAAACCTCCATTCTAGTAATTCGTGCATAATTTTCAATTATTAATATACTTCGACATCCAAGTGAACGACGAGATACTCATCCGTAAAGTTTCAATTTTTTGGATTTTGGGAGCTTGGAGATAATTTTGGCAGAACATTGGATATCTATAAATCTTAGTATATGTAGCTTTTTACAGATAGCAAAGACATCACATGTAACACTTATAGGCAACAAAAGTTTTGCACAAAGAAGGAAATCGGCTACAACCCCCGAAACTTTTGAAATAGCTAGAGCTCAGTTTGGTATAATAATTTTCAATTTTATCCACATTTGGTGTAACTGCGCATGACTACACACCCTTCAGTAATGCTGTGAACATGAATTAGCACCATATAAACATGTAAGGGATCTTCTGACTTCTTTCCGCATGCCTTCGTGGTGTAATTGGAGGCATAATCGACGCGTATTTGAGAGGCCCATGGCTCGAGTCCCTGCGAGAGAATAGCATATTTTTCATGTGTCCCGCTTCAATGACTCTACAACTGAGGTCCGAACTCAAAGGTGGTAACCGATAATTCGATTTAATGATTGCATCCCCTCGTTCCCGGTCGCCCTTTAAAAGGGGGAGTACATAAGATATTTTCTCTCTCTTTTCCGGACGCCTTCGTAGCGCATACTCGACACGAATTCGAGAGGTCCAGGTTTCGAGCTCCGGTGAGGGCATTGTACATTTTTCATGTCTCCTGCTTCAAAATAACCTAGTGACTTTACAAACCATGATTAATTAGAGTCACATGAATTGGGAAAAAAACGGGCTACGTAAGCTACGACATGGGAGAGAAAAATTTGCCAGATAGACGAAGTAGATATCCATCTAGGTTACTCGAATACTTCGAAAGGGACTTTATCATCGGGCTAAATGCCTCAAGATAGTCCGCGTACATCAAGCAGCCCTCAACGTGGGTCATTCTAACCATACTGTCTGATAATAATGGGTGTAATTGGATAGGTAACGGAGCTCATACCCTAACCACCGACTTCGAATAATGTATGGAGCGAATATGTAACGTCATCTTTGCCTGCAATTGAAACGAATTACAGATTCTAGAGTCTCTTGCATGTGATATCTTTAACACAAATGTTGACAGTGGTGTCATCTCTAGAGCAAAATGCAGTCTACAGATTAGTGCTGATACGTATATGATCCAATGTTTTGCTTTGGAAGCAGATGGCCATCGTATCCAGGTGCGAAGGCTCACAGAAGAAGGGCATAATCAAAATACTATCCTATCGAACGACACATTTTTTATGATACAGACATTTCATTCTAAGAAGTCCTATCCTTTGATAGCCGAACCATTGTAGCAGAGGTGCATGGAATCCTAACGGCTCGACAAGCATGTTTAAGATCTTGCAGCATATGTGCTCTCATTCTTGCGGGTATTTCAGGACTTTCATTAAGATAATACCTGGTGCAAAGGCTATCATCTCGAAAAGTTCGTGGTAGGAGGAGCGGGGTAGGAAACCCTTGGACCCGTCAGCCTTAGTGCTCTCGATCAAAACTAGAGGTCGGAACTGAGCAAAGTCATACCGTCACCTGTATAGGCTCAAGGCTGTTGCCAACGACAGACGTAATCTTGTATTCCTTGCCACGTTGAATTTCGTGGGCTTGTTCTGGTGTTATTGTCAGACGAGGGAGATAGTAAGTCACAACAGCAACATCAGCAACGTTTTTAATTTAGCATTTAATTATTTAATTCACTGAATTCAGAACCATCATATACTATTTAAATTAATTATGCCACCAGGAATTTCTAAATAGTTCACATACACACTAAATATATTTCAAAGAGTCAGTTTTAAAGCACTATTATAGAAATCAAGCAATTTAACCATTGTTCAAGACATTTCGCTTAATTTTAAATATGCATCGCAGTTTCTAAAACTTATATTAATAAATTCGCTTCGTATATAATTTGTTTCGAAAAATTATTTACTAACGTACCTTTCAGCATGGACAGAAAACTTTCACGTTCAGTGTATACCTGAACTGACGCCTTATGACCTGGTAATCGTCGCGGAAAAAGGAAGAGAGGTAGTGTAAAGATGGCTAGCACAATACCTTGTAGAACAAATCCCAACCACCAAGCGCCAATCCATCTAGGATCATTGGGTCCATAGCCGGGATCAACTGAGTAGTAAAAAGAAAGATATTACGAAAATGAAGTACAAATATTAAAAAAACATTCTAAAATATAACTACTTAAACTTGTCAAAAATTAGCGGGTCAGTTTTGGTTAAGCTGCTAGGTGTCAATTATGTTAAAGAATAGAACCAAAATGTGGAAAAAAATGTACAAATATTTCGGTTCTTTTCATAAATAATATTTACTGCCACCTGTTCAAGAAATTAAATTTTTACTCTGCGATAAAATTAAAGTTCAACGGAAAGCAAATTTTGATTTCAAAAGCTTCATTTGCTTTTAAATTTCATTTCTAAACATAAAATGGTAAAAAGAAAATATAAAAATATTAAAAAAATTAATAAATGTTTGAGAAAATTAAAATACAGTTATTCTTAAAGACTTTCAATTCATATTTTGCTATGAATTTTCATCATAATCTTTAAATTGTAGTCTGAATACAGAGGACAGCGCACCCTGAAATTTCAGATAAAAAATTTTCATTCCGGTAGTTGTATGCTGTTAGAAGCCTAGTTTATTTATAACATTCAAGGTATAAAATTGAAGTGGTTATAAAATACGGAACTACTCTGATATGCACCCTCAAGGCGCCAAATTTCTCGCCAAATATTTTTGGCAAGAAACTCCACGCTGCCATATTGCTATCTAAATTTTTTGTCTACATTTCGAACTTTAAGCCTAAAATGTCTCCAAAAACACGGTTTTCGCAAATGCAAAAACCACGTTTTGAACACACAATTTAAGCTAAAAATCCGAAACAAAAAATTTAGATAGCAAAACCGTGAAGTTTCTAACCAAAATTATTTGACAAGAGTCCATGTAAACAGCGATATGTTTTAACTTAAAAAAACATCTACGAATGGCACCATCTAGGCAACGAACGAATTTACGAACTACCTCGCTTTAATAAAGCGACCTCGCTTTAATAAATTAACATAACAACAATAAATTTCAAAGAATACCATGTACACAGCGTTCTGTTTCAACTTTAAAAAACATCTACGAATTGCACAATTTAGACGGTACGCACTAATCAACAAAATAACTAAAATAAATTTCAAACTATTCAAAAAAACAACAATAACGACAGAAATTCATACTAAAAAAACAATGAACATAACATTCTACAAAATAAGAACAAGAATAAAATAAAATGCACTTACCATGAATTAATGCTTTTTCGAACAGCAGAAATACCAATTTCATACCGCCTTTAACATGCCGCCACGTAATCACTATCGTATTTATATGACAGCCAGGCACACTATCCAGAAAATTCATACTACTGGTTCGCAAATAAATAAAATAACAAATAATCACAAATCCGTACTTCTATCACGCACAGCCACTAAAAATAATCTCCCTCGGTACCTCTTTTCCACACCTCCAAATACCCATTGCCCCTCAACAGGATGGCCATGACGATATTTCCTTATGCCGAACTTCAATTCAACAACTTTCACCATTAAATCTTTTCCCCCCTAGCTTCTCAGACACAAAGCATGACGGGAACCAACGAACTCCGAGCGAAAGATTTTCAACGTCACCAAGGTTGCCATACAACACGCAATCGCGCCAAAAACAAGCGCAGAATACATATCGCCATATTTGGTTAAATTAGGGCGTATATCAGAGTTGTACCAAAAATACTATTGAGTATTGGAGTAAAATAATTTTGTAAAATATTAATGCTGTAATGAGCTAAGCATGTATGTAATAGTGGAACTAAATGAGATGTTTTATGCATCGTCATTTCGCATCAGTAGCACTTCATTGCGGGAGGGATTTATCATTAACTTTAGACACGAAATTCCTCGAAAAGGTTTCAAAACTTTTAAATAAGTTAGCAAAATAATCCCTGCAGAGGAATCTAAAATCGTGAGAAACAGGAAAAACCAAAAGACTAATAACTTCAAAATATTTCTTACCGGAATGGCTGGAGGGGCCACCAGCGGCTGAGCGGCAAGAGTCGTTGAATACTGGTAGTTCGGTCTGAGGTTCGAATCCCGCGAACAGGCTGGCTGCATGGGCATTTTGGTGGTTTTTCTCGTGTGTAATGTGCATACGAGCCAGTTTCCCTTAGAAAGTTCTCCACGAAGGCATCCCTGCCCTTATGCAAATAACCCTCGACGCTTTGCCATAATCACATAAACGAAGCCAAAACGAATGGCTGGTTTTGAGAAAACCAATGGCTGTTGGCTTGTTTAGCTTTAGTGTGATTAAGAAGCACATCGTCATAACATTTACGGAGCTGAATGTTTAAATCTTCAAGAGAAATTATTCCTCAATTTTTTTTTAATTCTGTAACCTTCAAATTATACAGTTCCCATCCAAAATAGGTTAAAGTTAACCAGAAAAGAATGCCTACTTTATACAAAAATTAAATAAAGAAATACGATGTTAAGTTTAAATAATTTTAATGAAAATATTATGTATTTAATTAGAAGACTAAAAACATTGAAATTAATCTAAGAGAAATTAATTAACTGTAAACTAATTTATTTCAAATTTAGAACGAATACCTATAAGAAATTTATTAAAAGTAAATTAATTTATTTCAAATTTAGAACGAATGTCATTCGACAAAAATACGTGACTAGATTTGAGTATGTTTTAAGCCTATTTTTTTTAGCTTTCCTCTGAGGGCGGCGGAAACTTTTGATGCCTAAGCATATGACGTTATCCAGTCCATTTTCTAACTACATATAAAATTTCAAATAAATCGATGGAACAATTTTACATTAAATCTGCAGCATACGTACATATAAAAGTGAGTTCTTCAAAACAAAGAAACACCGTACCTGAAAAGAACTTAATTTTGTTTCTATTAATTATGCAATAATCCGTAAAGATAGTAATCCATTTTTATGTGTGATTGCTTAACATATAATTCTAAAAGGTTACACAACATTCCAAATTTCAACAGTGATTTATCAAAGCAGCTCGTGGTGTAGGATAGTGAATGACTTGATTGAGTTACAAAGAGGTCAGATTGTTGGTATCTGGCTCGTTGGTGATTCTAGTGAGTTCAGTTATAAATTTACTGGGGTCATCAATAACTATTGTGTCTAAAACTCATACCAATATACAATACGCTCGGCAAAACATTGTTTGTGAGATGCATTTGTGGGAGAAAAACAAAATTAACGCCAGAAACACGTTAAAAAGGATCATTACGTCGAAAAGAAAAACTGCTGCTACAGAGGTGACTGTTGAATTTAATATACATCAATCAAATTCAGTTTTTGCACATAGAGTTCTAAAGGAAAGGCATAGGCAGAACATATTTGGCAGCCTTCTTTTCTTAAAACCTCTTATCTCACAAATAAAGGCAAAATAATGACTGCATGAACATCAAACACTGACTGTCGGTCAATATAAACAAATACTGTTCCTAGATGAGTTAGTCGTGGCATAAATCCCCGTTCCAAGATGCGTTTGTGCGGGAGAAACACCAACAGATTACGTCTGAGACTGTATGTTTCCTGCTGTAAAACATGCTTGTTCAGTTACGTTGTGAGCAGTTTTGTCATGGTTTGCATCAAGCCTAATTATTAGCTGATAAGGAAAAAAAAGTATCATTGAATGCATGACAGTTTGAAACTACCATGTCTATTCAATGGTGCAGATATTGTTTTGTATGGATAATTGCATCTTTCAAGAAAATAATGTCACTGGAATCAAATGTTTTCATCTTTTAAGTACCATTGAATCACTATGGTTGTAGGGTTCTGCTTGTATAGCAAATTTATATCAATGACACACCGCATTAGACTGACAAGCCATGCATTGCTCCAGTCTGATTCAAAATGACAAAGTCTTACGAAGATTAAAATACCTTTTTATTATTGCTTTAAATGAACAATTAAAAGAAGGCAACACTTGTGCTACAGAATATAACTCCGTCGCTTGTAGATATTTTAAAATAACATAAAATGAAGTTAAAATCAAGTATAATGGTTGGAGGCTGCGCTTGAGATCTCCTTGAACTGGTTCAAGTAATTAGCGGAGAGCTTCTAACATCGGCTGGTAAAATAGCTAAGCTCGGAATAAACCGAGCTGGCGACAGGACGTAAATTGCAAGCGAGGCTACCAGTAGCTCTAATTCTAAAATATTTAAACCCTCGGCTAGCTATCAATGAATTCTTATTAAGAATTTCTGGTTAGTAGCCCGATGCGTTAACGGTAAGACCACCAGCACTTGCAGTGAAAAAAGGAATTTAAATAATATGAATTTTGCTTAGAAGTTGGTCTCTGTTTTCTTACTTTAGCCTGAGAAGTGCGAGTTCCTTTACGCACATAATAAACATTTTAAGATCTTCTATAAATATGCAGAATTTAGATTAAATCGGTAAGACCAAAGATGTGTGTTACCCTTATGAAAAGTCATGGAACAAGGAAATGAAAGGCAAACGAAATGTTTTGCCTATGATGCTAAAAGATACTTGAGCTTGCTACCAGAATTTAAGACTTTACATTCATGACTGTGCATGCTATGATTCTCAATATTTATTTTTGCATGTTATTCACACTATGTCATCGAAAACGGAATTTACATTAATCACAAAAGCGGTGAGGGGACACAACACTTTTGTACCTTATGGGTAACCAACATAAATGAATGAGAGTGAAAGAGAGTGAGAGTTGGGAAAATATTCCTCTATATCCATCCATTTCGCCTTTCCAAATCAAATAGCTTACTGCAAACCAGTCTGCCAAATCAAGTCAATGGCCACTTATTATCCATTAAATTTTCATTCAAGGGTCACTAAGTATGTTTAGCGTATTTTGGGATGGGGTAGGGGATGGGATATTTTCCCCGAGGACTGAATATGAAACTTTCTGATTATCAGTTCAATTTAGTGACGATTACACCGAAGGATACACAGGAAGGCGCCTTCACTTTCTGCCACTGTTACTTGGCATACGTAGTGCCTAAACAAATTTATTAAATTAAGTTGTAGCCATGAAGAATAAAAAAAGTTGGGAAACGTAAAATGGATAATGAGCTGGCTACAGAAGTGTACTATGGATGCAGCATTATGAAATTTCATAATAATTTTATGCTAAATTTAGTACTTTTGAAATGGTTTCAGTTACAACTAAATAATTAAATTAAAAGTATTACTAAAATGAAAACATGATTTGGTAATTTATTAACAACCAGATGTCTTTCTATATCATCAAAGTAATTTGGTGAGGAATGTCTGTCGTTTAACTTCTAGTTCAGGTGAAATGACTAAGACAATTTAAGGCTTTGCAGAAAGGTTTCTTAAAAATTACAACATGTCTTCACTAAGATTACAAACCATATCTTTATAAGACTGAACTATGCTGACAAAAACAATACGAAGGCCATGGGAAGAATACTTTAAAGTTTCGAAGCTCTCCCACTTTATCTAACAGCAACTTCAAGCTGACTAAACCATGTTTGCGACGATCATGCACCAATGTAGAGATATTAGGAATTTTGGCATTGGATTCCTTTAAATATTTTCTCTACTTTACCGGACCTCCCCCGGTGATCAACGCCGGAAAACCAATGAAGCTACTGACTAGGATCTGTACTTAGGCAGTCTCCGCCACGGGGGTATATAATCACCCTTCAGAGAACTAGAACCCCTGTTCATTCGGAGGATGGTTCACGCCTGGCAAGAACCATATGGTACTGTCTTGTCAGTCCCTCGGCTATTGGGTTGTTACTTGATTTTGATATCTTAGGTGGTCCTTGGATCTTTGGCTCCCTTTGGTCAACTGGGGGGGAAGGTCGATGTCAAGCTGTGTTCTATGCTTTTTCGGTGGATGGGCAGCCGTCCATCATTGACTTATTACCCAAACCTGGTGAAACAAAAATTGTACCGCCCCCCCCTCCGGGATCACCGCGGGGGGTATGCCTCCTTGAAGTGTCGCTAGGGGTTGAGGCATTTAACTGTGTAAAGGCAGCCTTGTGCTTTGAAGCCAGGTCTGGGTGCCCTTCCTACTAGTGCACTATACTTTACTGGATATCAATTCAAGATCTTTAGATTACTATATTGATATCTGAGTATTAAACTCCTAGCACTTAATGAGAAAAGCATTTTTAATTTCTTGCAAAATTTTTTGACTAAAAGACATTACGAAAAACACTACTGTATTGCTAAAAATTACTTTATAACTTACGTTTTTACAAAATTGTATAGTTTTAGTTTTCAAAACTTAATTCCAGTAAACTCGTAGAAGAAGTCAGATAACAAATTTATACCTACCAAATGGATTTTCGTAATACTTTAGACATGCGGATGCTATCAGGGATCCACAAAACGGCCCAAATAGTCTAAAGCTAAATGCTATAGCTGTAATGAAACAATATGCGATTAGTCAAAACAAATTATATACACTGCGCTTTTATAATTGAAATAAGGAAAAACAGTTTCATTTGTGCATGATAAATACACACTATATACAAAATCATATAAAATATTTACAAACTTGCACAAACATAATATTTACAAAATCATATAAACTGATTAGTTTCATTTGAAGAAGAAGTTTCCATGCAATTTTGTAATACTTATTGAAATCTCGGAGTAATTTATGAAAGATTTATCTAGAATAAAATCTATGTGTCGAAACATTCATGAAGGTCTGAAATTATCAATTCCAAGGTTATGTGCCTTACGTGCCATATATAAGAAAATGAGAAGAATCTTTTATATATAACGTGAAGTTCTTGTGTATATAATTAAATATATGAATTACATAATTTTAGTAACATTTACTTGAAAAACCCAAAATGACTGAAAAAATGCATAACTCTTTATTTTCACAGGCATTTATTAACCGATTGTGAATGGATCTGCAAGAAAATGCTTTTTATCTTCGAAGTCAGTAAAAATTTGTAATGATTGAAATATTTTCTGAAGTACAAAAAACTGAATCTCAACTCATTACGTAGTTTTTATCTTTGTATAAGGAATTTTGTTTCTCATTTTCTCACAGAAAGAAACGAGATATGGTCTTCCACCGGATTTGAGCTCAAAATTATATGACAAATTAAAAATTAGAGTTTTTATCAGGTCACTTGTAGAGTCTTTCTTTTTCTTTTTTTTTTTTTTTTTTTTTTTTTTTTTTTTAAAGCAGGAGGGATAAAAATTGTGCAGTGCCCTGTCCAGGATTCGAACTCGGGACTTCCCAAAACTGTGTTGAATATGCTTCCAATTACGCCATGAAGGCATGTGGAAAGAAGGGAGAAAATACCTTATATACTCCACCACCCCCCTTTTAAGGGGGGAGTATATAAGGTATTTTCTTATAAGTATTTCCTTATAGGATATATAAGGTATTTTGTTATAGGTACCCTTTTAAGGGGTAATGATAACGTTTAATAACGCTTTTTATTTAAATTAAAATTAGAACATGAGCTCATATTCTTGTGCTCAGAATATCAACCACAGTTCTTGGCAATGTAAAACAGAACAGTCAAATTCAGATTTAAACGTGGAATAGTAGACAAAGACTAAGACAATTAAATTTTACTCTAAGCTGGCTCAGTACCTCTAAATTCAAACGCCGGCAGCAATATAACGCAAAGCCAAATAATCACATTTATCAAATCTGGCACACAGCTTGCATCCGCAGGCCAGAAACACGATCTTCAACTCCAAACCCTAACCACTATACCGTCTGCAGCAGCTATGAAAAATGTATGCTCTGCTACTGTATATTACCAGCAAGTTACTATATATTTATTACTATATATAGTAATTTTTTAACTGTATGTATGACATCTTTCTCAATGAAAAATCTCTATAATACGATTTAGAGTTTTGTATCATTGTTGGAATTTAGTATTTCGTTTTTGGATAGTATTTCAAACAGAACTATAGTAATATTTTGTTTTGAGTTTAGCTAAGAGTTAAAAATATTAATTTACCACTTTCGTTTACACCTCATTTCGATCCTCTCTGTCCAGAGAATTATGCAGATTTGATTGGCAGGAAGTTTAGTAAAAAATGAAGGAAATAAATCGTAACCGTATCGATTGCAATAGTCAACGTTTGGCTGTGCCCACGGTTGCTAGCGCTTACCTACTATTTCGAGAATGCCACTGTTGTAGAGCATTTGATTTACTAGCCGTTAGCCTATGTGGTAAACTGCTCTTGATTTAGATTTTACTTGGCGCGACTTAGTCATTATAGGAAATACTTAGATTATGTATATAACCTTGTGATGCATTATTTTAATTTGACTCCTACAAGTGGTAAAAGGTAACTGTTTGTTTATTTGTGTTTTCACAGTTTTAGTTAAACTACATCATAGCTTTCAGCTGAAACTGAAAACTTGTAGGAACGTAAGAATTTTTTGGAAGCAGGAGATGTGAAAAATGAACAGTGCTCTCGTCGGGACTCGAATCTCTGACCTCGCGAATACGCGCCGAGCGTGCCGACCATTACACCATTAAGGCAGGCTAAGAAGGGGAGTGAACAGCCTTATACACTCCCCCTATTAAATTGCGACTGGAGATTAGGGGACCCAATCGCCAAATCCCGGTGGTGGAGAATCATCATCCATGACCTTTTTTAGTTCGGGCGTCACTGTAGAGACATTAGGTTATTTCAAAGCAGGAGATATGAAAAATGAACAGTGGCCTCGCCAGGACTCGAACCGCGTACCTCTCAAATATGCGCTGAGTGTGCTGACCACTACACCACGAAGGCATGCTAAGAAGGCAGGAGAAATACTTATAGACTAAAAGTTGAAATTACATAGTTAGTTAAAAATAGCGCCTTATCTGTTGTAGTATCACAAAATGGAAATTAGGTCTGAAAAATGGTTTACATGTCAATGTTTCGCAGTAACAAATACAGAGCATTTCGAAAAATGTACGCAAAGACTTCTCAAATAAGCCACAATTTTCTACTGGGCAATAAGATCGTCTGTGTGGAAAGAATTTATTGGAACAGTTTCAGTAAGCGCTTTTTGCGCGTCTCCTTCTAATCTACAGGATATACCGCAAACTCAACATTCCAAAATCAACTGCGTGGAAAACCTTTCAGAATAGCCCTCAGCTTTAACCAGATGATGATATTGTAGAAACTGAAATACGTCTTAGCATTTCGATGCATGCGAAATCCTATCTACTAGCAACTTCCTTTGCCTGACTGACGTGAAGTGTTGACGGAATGGCGTCCAGAATTCCCTGATATGATTTCTCCAAATTTCTTTTTCATGTTGTTCCATGAAAGATGACACTCCCTCATGTCCTTATCGATGAAGTAAATGAGAATAGCTATCAGATGTATATGGTGAGACTGGCTGTGTCATCTTCTACGATGTAAAATGAAAGATAACATGAAAATGATGTAGTAATTTAAATTACTGTGGCGTTACCGTTAAATTCAATCATTTAATTCGCTATAATGCAAAGCAAACAATTTCAAATCTTCTTTTACTTCAAGAAAAAGAAGAATGCTAATGAATTGTGAATTTTACAGTAATATATAGTAGCTATGCGTACAAAAGAGAAATGATTTCTATTTTAAATGCACATAAGGGATTTAATGCTGTGCAGAATATTTTTCCCTTTTAAATATACTCATGAGATTTAATTCTGTGCAGAATATTTTTTCCTTTTAAATATATTCATGAGATATAATTTCGTGCAAAATATTTTACATATTTATTATTGTAAAAAGGAAAACGAAAATAATGAAATTATTATTTTTTACTTTTCAATGAATAATAAAATTATTTTCATTTTTATGTTCAAAAAAATTCTGAAAGATTTCAGATTTTATATCGCGACGTCCAAAGATGCATTCTTTTTTTAAATTTGCACACGCATACACGTTTCGATAGCATTTGAGCTAAAGGCCCCTATGTGCTAAAAATATTAAAAAACAACAGATCTTCAGAACTTCCGATAGACAGTCTTGTGCGCTGGAGATAAAAATCATGCAATGAAAAGGAAGCCATAAAACGTCACGGTATGACGTCATCACTTATCATGGTCGCTGCTATAAGCGGACTTGGAGTTGGTTTTGTTTACATTCCAATCAGCGTTGATTACATGTTAGATATCCATCATTCAACGTTTGTAAGTCTCCCGTTTTAATTTTAATATTTAACATAAAAGATTTTCTACTTAGCATATAGAAAAATTCACAAAGGACTGCAAATAGCATTTTCAAATTTAGTAAAATTTAGGTACTTAAAAGTATGTAAATGGTAATTAAAACACAAATGTACACATGGTGAAACCTGAAAGACCAGTGGAAGTTTCAATGATATTTTATGCAAATTATGCCTAAAAACACTTTTCTGAATCTGCGGAATTTGATATTTGGTTTCAAATTAAGTGAAATTTATTCAATAAAATGTTTCGTAGTCTACCCGTACACTATATGGCGGCCATGATAAGTCTTAAAGTCACGTTGCTAAAATATCTTTGGTTTCAATTTTGTGACATCATGCTTACTCCATCTATTCTAATCTTCATGATGAAAATATTTTTACTCCGTGAAGTGTTGCCATTGCTCGCTTTGAAACCGTTGAGGTTTTTAATCAAAAATTCTTTAACGTTTTGTAAAATATGAAATAGATAATAAAAAAATTCGGGCTTCCGGGTGCCCGTGTTCGGGTGGAGGACAACGTTATTCAAAATCTGACAACTCTAGGTACCGTTGTTTTTTCACAATGCGAGAAGAATACATACATTCATGCAGATTCTTCATTATTTAATTTCTTTAAATATTATACAGGATGATAGTATTTGGTGGCAACAATCTGAAAAGTGATTCCCTTCTCTGCTAACGCCCTTTTGGGCTAATAATGAATGAAGGAAAATAATTCAATAATTTTCATTGCCACTTTACAACTTTTTTGGTAGTAATACTTTTGAAATATTGGTATTTTCTACCTGGAAGATGTTTATTATGAAACCATTGTTAATCCGAGATCAATTTCTCTTTTAAGGGGAGTTGGAACTTCAAAATCTTCAAAAAATTGTGATTTCGGATTTTTGCATTTTCAACTTCTCTACACTTTTATCTTTCTAAAAATACCATTCTTTAATCTCTATGAAAATTAGAGCTGTAAAAAAATCTAGTTTTAATTTGTCATCTACTGCTTTGATCAATGAGGATTTTTGCATAAAAACGCGTTTTTCTCCAAACGTGATTTTTTTATACTCGATGTACCTTTTCTCAGGAACTACTGCTCACAGGTTTCTAAACTTTTTATGGCTTATTTATTAGGTTCCCTAATATTTACTGAAATGAGCTTTTTGTAATAAACTTAGAAAAAAAAAATTTTTAATTTTTTTGTGCGAGAAAAGTGCTAAATTTTACTATGC